CTTTTTGAAGCATATAAGTAATGATTCTCCTTATTGATTATATTCATTATTATGCAAGGAAATATTCTGGCAACTTTCCTTTGTATTCCCCGCCACGACTTTCCCAGATATATACAGCCCTTGATATGTGATTTCAGGGTCCTCTAATCTATAACAAATTAGCAGGAATATAGAGATGGAGATGGGAAAAAATGTTTCACTGATGAATGCAATTTCATAGTAGGTACTGGAATCTGTGCAGATTGTTATATAAAAATACTAGCTGAATACCCGTGCTCCGCTACGAAACTATGTGATCAGGCTTGATAAATCGACACAGCTTGAACATTAATGAGTAGTTACGATCGGCCTCTCCTCTCCCCTTCTCTCTCTCAGCCTTGCCCCATAGAAGCCTCCCCTATCCTATCTCCTGCTTGCTGCTGTGAAAGTAAAACTGAAACTGAAACTCCTCTCCTCTGCTTGTGTTTTGCATTTGGAACATATTTCTTTTCAGATGGGGAGAGGGAGTAGAACTCCTTAGCATCAGACCATGTTAATAATAATATAGGAAATACTAATGCTCTGATGGTCATTTCAAAATATCCTTTCTTAGTGAGCACCTAGACACCAAGAGGAACATAGGTGACAAATTTCAAGTTTATAGGCTTTTCTGTTCTGAAGATTTTGTGATGATGCTTGAGTGGTATTTTGCTTTTATATATATCTAGATATAAAGTTGTAGAGTCCTTGGCTATATTACCACTAAGGTCAATTTAGACTTTAACAAAAACAGTTTGTTGCTTTCCAAAAAGGCTGTTCAATTAGCTCATACTATCAGGAAATCCTGCCCAATTGTTAGGGACATTGGCAGTTAAGTACTTCTTTGCTTTGGTGTGACTCTTCTTCACTCAAATAAAAATAAAGCCGAGAGAGATAAAATGGAAAATGTTTTCAAGTTAAATACATGAATTGAGATTAAAAAAATTTGATTTCATTTTTTATTGAAACGGGGAGAATAATTATGGTATTCTTTTTAAATACTACCAAAGGATGATACAACAAGCAAAATATTGAACTTGCTCAGTTCTTTCTTGTTTGGCAGTAGTCAGTGACAATGTATGACTGATAGAAAACAAATGAGATAGTTTGAACAATATATCTGGCAATCCAGCAATCAACATTTAGAAGACTCACTGCCATGCAAAGCATGCGTTTTCCTACCATTACTTATTTCCTTCTTCCTTGTGATTGACCCACACTCTCTGTTATTTACTGAAAAATTAAATGATCATCTTCTGACCATACAGTATTGAAGCATATAGCTAGGGAAATCAGTCCATTTTTTTTCTCCTCCCCTTTTCAGAAGATAGGCCAATTTTACAGAATATTAATAAAGTCAAATTTTATTTTATTTTTTTTTTACAGGAAAAGATCAATTTAAAGTTCCATTTTAACGCTAAACTTTTTTTTTTCATCACACAAAACCTTTCCCCCGGTAGAAGAGAAAAAATGTAAGAGCAGATTGAATGACATATAGCATCTTACAATGACCTCCAAAAGAAAGGGGAAAAAAACCAAAAGACCCTGGGACTTTTTTCCAACATTTTTTTTTTAAATTTGATTTATATGCCGCCCTTCTCCGGAGACTCAGGGCGGCTTACAATGCGCTAAGCAATAGCCTTCATTCTTTTGTATATTTATAGAAAGTCAGCTTATTGCCCCCACAACTGGGTCCTCATTTCACCTACCTTAGAAAGGATGGAAGGCTGAGTCAACCTTGAGCCTTGGCAAGATTCGAACCTGCAGTAATTGCAGGCAGCTGGTCTTAATAACCAGCTTAATAACAGGGTGCCTTAGACCACTGTACTACCAAGGCTCTTAATAAACATTAATAAACAGAAAACTTTTTTTTCCCCAGAAGTCCAGGAATGCTGTTCCTTAGACTCAGTTCTTAGCTTCTTGCCTTACCTTTTCCCAAAGAACTGCTTGCAGTTTTCAAAAGAACAAAAGCACTTTCACAGGGAGAGGAAGGAACAGAGGCAAATCCCTCTTTCTGCAATATGCTTAAGTAAGCATCTCTCATTTCACCAAGAAGATTTTGCTTGAGGCAGAAGGATATATTTTCCCTGTCTGAAGCATTTATTTCTATGAATAACAACACAACAGCTAGTTAAAAAGGAAAGACGGGGATTTGTTAATAAATTCACCTGGAAGGAATGGGATGCTTATTTTAAATTTGCATAAAGATGTAAGAAGACTGGTGTTTTGTAATGTATAATCCTCTCTCTTCTACATTACATATTTAAGCAATGCATATTTTGCTGGAATGAATGTAATTGGTATGACTGCAGCCTGGAAGGTAAGAGGTAAAAAAAGATAAGCCTAGTTTTTTCACCACTGTATCACAAATTGAAGCATCAAACTTAATGAACTATATTTTGTCATCAATAACAGTGAAGTGTCATGGTTTTGGGAATATTGACTTCAGAGATGACTTTGATTTTATTGTTAAAATACAAGCATCATGATAAGTTGCTTATATCCAGTTGTATATCCCACTAGAAGCTTCTGGTGACAAACATGCAGTGTAGTCCTTTTTAATATAGTTGATTTTTGTGGTGCTTATATTGAAAGACAAAGACAAGCCGAAGAGACACTCTGGTTCTGATACAACCCAGAATTGGGTCAAATTTCTTATTGATTGATCAAGATAGTAGGAATTTTGGTTCTTGTTCTGTCTCCTATTTGTTCTGAAATGAAAATGAAATGAAAAATGGATAGTCTTGAAATGTTTTTGATTGCTCTTAAAATATATTTTGTTCCTTGATGTGATAACTGATTAGCTATGAGACAAACTGAAGACTCAGTTTGTAAATTCAAGAAATTCTCATTCTATATGATAATGTTATCTAATTCAGACATGGCTCTAACATCAGCTGTATTTCTTCTGTTTTCCCCATCCCTTTCTAATCATCTTGTATCCTCAAGAACTTTGAAATCTTGAAAGTTTGCAACAACCTTCAGCTGGCGATACACATTTTATATTTTCTCCCTTATTTATTTATTATTATTTATTATTCAAATTTCTATACCGCCCTTCTCCTTTCGGACTCAGGGCGGTGAACAGCCAAAATAAAAACATCTATACATAACATTACAGTTAAAAATAGAGTAAAAATAATTTATAAATTTGGCAGAATATAATTTATAAATTATGGCAGAATACAGCAACTCTTGCTTTTTAAAGTGTGTAATTTAAGCTCCAGTAATGTATGAAAGCATAACATGTTTTTCATCAAACACTTCCTAATATAGAAATCAGTCAGTCATGAAATCTAATAATACTGGAATTCATTGAAAGGATAATGTCATTAGAAATAATGCTTGGTAGGCATCTTCTCCATCATATGAATAGTATCAGTAGTCACTAACTTTGAGAGATAGTGTTACTAGTATTTCCCTGATCGTATTAAGCATTTTTTTATTTCAAGATAATCATTTTATTAATAATTCATTATAATTTGGCTTCAAGCATGGGTCAGTCACTTTAAAATGGGGTATGCTAGGGGAACTGATGTTATTCCTTAGAAGCCAGTTTTATACCCTGTTGAGTAAGTAGCCCATGGAACTACTGGGAGAGACCATCCAAAGCCTTGGAATGCTTTGACATCAATATGCAGATAACTGGCAGCTCTTTCTTTTTCATTTAATTACTAGGGAAGTTGCTAATATTCTAGATCAGCATTTGATATTGTATGATTGAAGCCAAGTTAATCTATGGAGGCAAAAAGCAGAATGAAAATGGCACCACCTCCAGCTGACAAATATTATTAAAAGTCATAAACTTTTGTGAGTTGCAGCTCATTTTATCAAATGCATGGTTGCTAGATTGATGTAGGATTTAAATTGGATGGTGGGGGAGGCAGGTTGGCTATATAGATGTAAGTTTCATGACAGACAGTTTAAAGTACTTTAGTAAGTTAAGAATTATAATGTATTAAATCCTATTGTATTGAGCCATGGTGGCACAGTGGTTAGAATGCAGTACTGCAAGCTACTTCTGCTGACTGCTGGCTGCAGTTCAGGAGTTCAATTCTCACTGGCCCAAGATTGACTCAGCCTTCCATCCTTCCGAGATGCGTAAAATGAGGACCCAGATTGTTGGGGACAATATGCTGACTCTGTAAACTGCTTAGAGAGGGCTGTAAAGCACTGTGAAGTGGTATATACCGGTAAGTCTAAATGCTATTGCTAGTGCTATTGAGGTTTGTGAAATATCTGAGATTTTCTGAGTATCTGATGATTGTAATGGACCAGATGAGAGATAATGCATTGAAATTTAATCCAGATAAAATGGAGACTATTTAGTCAGGAAATGGACATAGAATACAATTTCAGTATGTTTGGGGTAGAGTTGTATTCTTACTGAAAATAAGTGTCAACCAAAGATGATATGGTCAAACGCGCTCTGACTTGGTTATGGTACCAGTTATAGATTGACTAGCTACACTTAAATTGGATTAATAAAGTGTACTTTTGATGGATTATCTATTCATTCATCCAGATGCCTAATCCATCGATGAATTCATAGAATATCAGTCATGTAACTCCAATTGCAGTACCCAGTTCCTTTAGAGGAGGTTGTCTTTTGCTTCTGCCTGATTTATAGTTTTTATTTAGGTATTCATATAATTTATTCTAATGTATTTTCAGCATGGTTTTTGTTTTGTCTCTTAATGAAAGTAAATTTTATAACAATTCCAAATACTGCACATATGCAGTAGAACAAGAGGGCAGTCTTCCAGGAATGGAATTGAATGTCCCTAGCTTACAATTGTTATAGAACAATTTGGCAAAATTTCTCTGTAGAAACAATTGTCATATGTTTCATGTATATGGACACCCTCGCATTCCATTGAGATTATTGGAAATTATGCCCAGAGAGCTGGAAATGTGTTTTATGTGTAGATAATGTTATTTCAAACTCATTCACTAAGTTTTTCTTTGCTCTTTGACTACAGGAATGACTTGTCAAGCCAGAACATCATACACAGAAGATGAAGTTCTCTGGGGTCATCGTTTTTTTCCTGTCATTTCCTTAGAAGAAGGATTTTTCAAAGTAGACTACTCCCAGTTCCATGCAACCTTTGAAGTTCCTACTACACCTTACAGTGTGAAAGAACAGGAAGAAATGCTGCTTATGTCCTCCCCTTTAATAGCACCAGCTGTAGGTAACAGTAAAGAAAGGAATAATTCTATAGAATGTCTAGATGGCCTCGATGACATTGGTACAAAGATACCCTCCAAACTACAGAAAATGACTGGAAGGGAAGACTTTCCTAAAAAACTGTTGAGAATGAGTTCTACTACTTCAGAAAAAGCCTATAGCATGGGGGATCTTCCTATGAAACTTCAGCGAATAAGTTCTGTTCCCGGAAACTCAGAGGAGAAACTGATATCTAAGACCACAAAAATGTTATCAGACCCTATGAGCCAATCTATGGCAGACTTGCCACCAAAACTTCAAAAGTTATCCGGAGGAGGAGGAGGCAGAATGGAGGGAAACCTTCCCCCAAAGCTGAGAAAAATGAATTCCGATCGATTTACATAACAGGAACAAACTTTTTAGGCATTACTTGAATTGCCATTATATATAATTGGGGGCAGAAAAGCAAACACATTTAAATAATATTTGGTGACTGTGTTTCTTTATAGTTTCACATACTCTGGGATAATACTCTTCCCTTTTAAGGACTGATGAAATCTACAATAAAAGATCCGGAAGTTCAGCTTAGGGTCAATTTGAAAGCTAATAAGCTAATACTATTTGGCATGTAGTATCATCACAAGCATGCAATAATAGTGTGCAAATTTTGCATATAGTTTTATGGCATGGTTCTTATTATATTTATACTGTATATTCTGGGGAAAATGTAAATGGAGTGTTAATTCTCCTATATTTCTTAAGCTTTGATTAATCAAAGCTTAAGTGAGCTACTAACAGGGCAGATTATAATTTATAAGGGCACAAAATCCAGCAAAAGATGAACATTTCAGGCATGAGCATGTGCCCATTGCATCCTCCATTTCCTTCAAAAAAGACAGGGAGTTTTCTGCTGAAACATCTCCCACTCACTCAGTAGCAGCAGCAGGTCTCACGAGAGTAAGGAAACGTGCAGGAGAAGGCTATACATAAATAAGAAACTGAATCAGATCTTTGGTTAATCTTTAAATACATATTTAATTACTTTCCAGTCAATATAGTTAAATGTGTATATTGGCTGAATCATGACCATTTTTTTTCCTGATGTAAATTGTGATGTTTTCTTCAGACAGTTACAGTGCATGTTTTCTTTGTTCAAATAAGGCTATAGCTATTAAGAATTCTGAACACCAAAACTTTTAAGCCTTAAGCTTTTTTTTCTTGCTTTAACACTTTCCCCAGTTTATTTCGCTATATGGATACTCTAGCTTTTCTTTACCTAAAAGTCAATTCTGGTTAGAAGCAGGCAAAATTACATGGCAGGCAGAGTTCTATTTTAGGCAGAGGTCATAAAATCAAGAAATTTGTTGTGATACATGCTTGTTTCATTTTCATTAAAAATAAGTATGAAATAAAGTTCAACATGGAAATATTTTCTTGATTTATTATACTGATGGCTTACTCTGATACTTCATACATTAAGTAAATTCCTTTCTTCTTATTAATTATTCATATCCATATTCATCCTACAGAAAAGTTAGGTTCAGATAACCCAGGGCCTCAAAAGCTTACTGTGAAAGATGTGTAATCCCTTGTGAAGAGCTTTTTGGAAATCTGTGAGCGCAGATAGGTTCAGAGCTATTCATAGCTTCTTAGAAATCAAAGACCTCGGGAATAGTCATCTCAATAGTTATTATAAGGTTCCTGATTATTGGAAATTAACTTGCAGATTATTTTATGACAATAGCATTTGTCAGGGTCTGCAGCTTCATTAATGAAAACAGCTTTTTTCTCCACAGTACAAGCAGCCTAATCATCGATGCAGTCTTGCCTAAGTCCACCTTAGCTGTACAAAGGCAAATAAAGACAAATTATAACAGTAACTACTATGCATTATCAGAAATAGACTAAGCAGCTTTAGTGCCCTTCTATAAGGTCTATGGACCGCTTCCAACGGATGTACAAAAAGGATTAAAAGATGCATTTGCAGCCCAAGGTTGCACTTCCCTTGCAAAATAGGAAAACAGATCACGGGTAAAAGGCACAAATCAGTTAAAAGGGCCATACTTGCAACTCAGAGCAGGCAGTTCTACTGTCGTTGCATTATTATGCTACTCGTTCTTGCTTCTACATGCCACTGAATCAACCAAAATGATATTAAACAATCAGGAAGAGATAATGATAATTCTACGTTATAAATAGCCAAAGGACTTAGAGATTCTTGGCTGGAGGCACATCTACATCCTGTACCTTGTTTTCCAAGGTTATTCCCAGCTATTACATGTATGTAAAGCCATCCAAATGTAACTTATACTCATTCAGAAGCCACTATAGTGGATTAATGAAGAAGGGAAGCCTTCATCAGAATTCAACTGTAAGGATCAGTGAGATTGGGGGGGGGGGGACTTGCAGGTATAATTTAACAGTAAAAATGCAAGTCTTCTCTTTTTTGGGCTATTTTAGCCAACACAGATTTAGAATCTTATAATTCTTTCATGAAATTCTTATAACCATAGTCCAAAAGAGTACCAAAAAACCCAGAAATACGTAAGTACAATCTCACTGCACAAAATCCTATAATAATTTTGTTTACAGTGTGCTACACACACAAGACATCAGGGATCAAGGAGTATCATTGCCAGAGGTGCCTGTAGGGTAGGAAAAATGTTTTAACACACAATCCAGTTGGCTTAATTATGGAAATTGTGTTACATGCTACAGGAAAGGATGAATAAATACCTTGGGGAAGATTTCTTCTAAGTAAGCTAAAACCAAGCATTCAAAGCAATGACGATCGATAAACCTCAGAGCAGAACCACTCTCATTGTGTAACACAAAACCTTCAGCAAGGAACTAAGATACTTTAGGTGACTCCAAGGGCTTGTGTGCTCCCAGAAGTGTATTTGACTTTTTTTCCTTTTCTGTTAGAAACTGGTTCCTAGGCCATATCAGAAACCACTTCTGGAGCTCCCTGCAATATGCCATAATTTGAAATAGGGAACTGTTCACCGAAAAAGAAAAGTCCAAAATTACCTTGAGAATTTAGTGCTAGCTGTGCTATTCTTTAGACTTTGTAACTTGGAGCCTTGGGTTGAATTACAGTTCTGCAACCAGCTTAATCAGTTAATGCCTGGAAGGTGGAAATCTGGCCTTAGACCTTTTTTCTTTTGCCATGAAGCAAAACCAGAGGAGGAAAAAAATGTACAAATGCAGAAATCAATGAAACCTGCACCATTCCAGCATTGGAATCACAAATATTAACAATTCAAGCTTTCACAGCTGGTATCAATCCAATGGGGCCAAGCTTCTGAGCTAATAAGCCATGACTAATTATCTGGTATACTGACATTTCACCAGCAACAATGGCTGGTATCTTCTGAGGTAAAGTGATCACAGGTAACTGAGCAGAAACTGACAGAGCTCTTGTATTTGTAACAGAATTAATCTCTAATTGGATAATGTCACTGGAAAGCCGGTTTCTGATTGGTTCTTTATACAAGTGAATTTGTAATTGGTCTGATTTTAACAAGTTCCAAAGGGGCTAATTTTTTTTTATTGGTCTGTCCGAAACCAGCTACTGATTATTATTTTTTCAGGTAAGACCGCTGAAGATTCTATAAAGTGTGGTTAATCAAGGGCTCTTTTTTTTTTAGGGTGACATAAAACTGGAAACCAGGTTTTGTTAACATTCAGACTTTCTTGTTAATGTTGGAGTGTTTATAAATCTCAATAGCTTCTCTCTGTAATTGTGCATGACAATTTGACATGATTACTAATACTTGTGTGTCTTTAAATTGAATCTATGCCCATTATGTAGCAGTGGGTGTTCAGCTACCACTGATTTTCAAGTTGTAATATTTCCCATGTTCTTTTAGTTGAATATTTTTTTTTAGTTCCAATACATACCTATGTACAACTGCAAGGTTTGTAACAAACTTCCGATGATGAAAGATGACTTCTGCCATCCTTAAGTGAATGAATAATTTCTTGGATTTTTCACATTGGTTTGTAGATAGTTTCTAAGTTGTATTTCTCCAGTAATGTTCAGTTTGGTTTGTAATTTTCTCAATAAAAGGAGAACCACCTTTCCTACTCTGGGTATATAGTTTGTTCTTTGATGTACTGTATATGTGAAGCTGTTTTTACTGTTGGATTGCATCACTTAGATGATCTCACCTCCAGAGGAACCATTAGCTGGTAAAGTCATGATATTTTAACTCATCCAGTAATCTTTTCAGATTACAAATAAGTCAAGTATGATCAGTGGAAGTTTTAATTATACTTTACTGAAGGAGATGATGGGTAGAATCAATAGTGAATTAAATAGAATTAAAACCAAATACATGTTGATTTTTAATATACTGTATGTTCAAATTGTTTTTTTTTTAATGATTAGAACATCCAAAAATACAAGTTGGCCATTCTTCTCTTTCATCGTAAATTGAATATTTTAGTGGACCCAATTCAGATGTTCTAGAAATTTCTTGAGTTCTTCCTCACCATAACTCCAGTTCACAAAAAAGTCATCCACATACGGTTTTAAAGCTGCAATGTCTAGTCAACATTGTTCAAATTTCTGTAGGTAGAAATTATAGAAACTGAACTCAGTGGGTACCCTATGTCATCACATTTAATTTGCTCAGAGAATTTGATGTTCCCCTGGAAATAAGTGCCAGTTAGGTCATGATGGAATAAATTGGTAAAGTCTTTGGAGAAGATTTTCTTAATATACACAGTAGTAATGTTTCCTTAATCAGCAACTTTCTAAAAAGTAAAACCACATCAAAACTGATTAGTACATTACCTCGTCTAAGACCAAGCTTATTTATTTCTCAATGAAATGGGTTGAATCCTTAATATTTGTTGACATAAGTCCACTACAAGGCTATAAAATTACAGATAAGTGTTTTGCCATAAGACATTAGCTGTTGGATCACATTTAAGTTTTTATGAGTTGCCTGATCTAAGAGGTCCTGGAGATTGTTCTGACAGTCATACACATTCATAATCACTGTAGCATTTCCTTTATCTGCTGGCAGAATAATAATACTCTCGTGTGCATTAAGTTTGTTTTAAGGAACATGTTTCTCCCATTGTCAATATAATGGTGAGGGGATGAGATCTCTTTAAAATTTGACCAGTCATGTCTTATTTCTTCTATAGCAGTGTTTCTCAACATTAAGATCTGGAGGCTTCAACTCCCAGAATTCCCCCAGCCAGGATGTACCTAAAAGCATGCTTGCTGGGGGAATTCTGGGAGTTGATGTCCATGCATCTTAATGTTACAAAGGATGAGAAAGACTGTTTCACATATGAGATAACATCTCATATCTACTGAGTAGGTGATTGGAAAGTGAATGATTGTACAGGTAGTCCTTGAGTTACAACGTTCAAAGTTACAGCGGCAATGAAAAGAGTGACTTATGACTGTTTTTCACACTTACAACCATTGCAGCATCCCCATGGTCACGTGATCTAAATTCAGATGCTTGGCAACTGACTCGTATTTATGACGGTTGCTGTGTCCCACAACTTAACAAATGTGGCAAGAAAAGTCGTAAAATGGGGCAAAACTCACTTAACAAATTTCTCACTTAGCGACATAAATTTTGGAGCTCAATTGTGGTCGTAAGTCGAGGACTACCTTTGAGATGGGCAGCTATACAAATTGAGAAAAAGAAAGAGAGAAAGAGATCTGTGTTTTGAAGAGCTTCCAGGTTTCCATATAAACCTGATGGAAAATATCCTTGCCATAGAGGCGAACAATATATTGATGCAGCTTTCTGTAGCATCTGAAAATTACCAGGGAGATCACTTTACCTCTGAAGATCCAGCCATAATTGGATTGTCTTAAATTCTCAGAATACCAGATAATTGGACCATGCCCTATAAGCCCGGAAGTTCATCCCCACTGCAAGTGTCAATCTTTGCTTTGAAATTTGGGTTTAGGGAATAAAAATGTGTGGTAGTAATAGCAAATTTCAACAAACCACATACAAATTATTATATTTACTTTTGTTATACTATTCTATTAAGATCTGTAAGTTATAATTAATAATAATTATTTGGAAAATAATTGAATTGGGAAAAACAACCATTTGAATTGTTTTATTTTTGTAAAGACAGTCACGTTAGGAATTTTTGTTTGAGCAATAACCCCAAAACATGTTTGAGTGCATTTGAGTTCAAAAAAATCTCATAACGTAAGCAAAAGGTTTTGTTACAATTACCTTTTCTCTACACTGAATGTTTTTTGTATGTATTTTACATATATACTTGTATTGTTTGATATGCAGTGATGTGATGACTTTTCTTTGAATCTTTAATTTAGACTGGGTTTATCTAACAATTCATGCAAAGGGACTTTCCCATTTTCTGTGCTTCCCAGAGGAAGCAACTCCTGGAACAGCTTCCCACGAAACATGGGAGCCTTTGATAGGGAGAGAGAATAAGTCACCTCTGCAGTTGTTCAAAAAGTCACAATGCATTGATTTTGGCATACTGCAATGAGATATAAAATGCATAACTGCTCTGAACTGGCTGATGCCATTCTTGCATGCCTGAAGTTACTCTGAGGGATCACAAAATGATTATTGAAAGCAATGCCACTTCAATAGTTGTTTCTAAATTACCCTAATTACTCTTTTGGTAAACTATTTGTATAGTATCTTATTCAGTGGAAACTACACAACAGTGTAATTACAATAATTACAAAATCTGTCAAAATATTACAGTATTATTCAGTGGAATCTACACAATAGAGTAATTAAAATCAATAATGACAAAATCTGTCAAAATATTACATTGGATACTCCTATAAATATATTCAATTATTTGAATGTTCAGCTGGGATGGGACGATGAGGCAAAGGGAAATTACAGTATAGTTTTGAATATATTTGTCTGGTAGTAAGATCCACTGTTTTCACGTGAGCCTGTTCTTAACTAAATGTACATCGAATTGTGTGGTTTTATTCCTTTCTTTTTTAAAAAAAAAATCTAAATATTATTTTACTCATCCATCAAGTTCTCAAAGGGCTGTGAATCATTAAAAATGTACATGAATCATTTTTATCAATCAGTGACAACAGTACAGCATATATCCTTGTAGCTGAAAGTATTTAAACATTTTACAACCTGTCATAAGCAAGGAAAGGCAGACAGCTCATCCATAGTAAAAGAGTTTATGTGAACCTGAGGTATCACAATGGGTTTTGTATAATTTTCCCCCTCATCTTTGAAAACTTGTTTAAAATTTGTGAACTGAAACATATGTTTTTGACCTTAAGTTTTGAGTTATTGGCAGTATGAATGTGTTTAATTGCAAGCCAAAAATACCCTGCCTAAACACCAAAAACGCAGAATGGAGCTGGTGTCTACAATTCTGCCATGTAAAAGAACAAATATGAAAAAAAATTACATGATTTTTCCACATCGAATTAGTAAGTCTCTTCAAAACTCGGGTTTGATTTTTGTATCACACTCGCAAGGAAAGGCAATTTAGAGCGTATTGCCCTTTCTTCTGCACATAGAACATTTGTGATATTTTACTGTACCATTTATGTCAAAGGCTAATTTTATTCATACTTCTATATTTGAACCTTTGCACAGTCAGCTCTATAATCATGCATTAGAATCCACTTATATGTAGGAATAGTTCTTTGTAAAGTATATACTAACCTAACTTTTGTGCAGTGTGAGATAGCAAAGAGAAAGTGAACGGTTCTTTTGTAATTGGTAAATGATATGTAATATCATGGTGGAAACAAAGTTAAGTCTATTTTATAAGACCTAAAACATATTGAAACAGATTTTCTTTTTCTCTAAAGAATTGTCATTGTTTAACTAATGCTGTGACAAGTTTTCATTGCAATATGACTTTAGGTTAAAATATATTTTCTTCTGATAATTTCATTTAATATAAAATGTGGCTAATAATAATTTTTTGCTTTTGCCAACTGTTTTTACTTTTCACTTCATAGTCTTTTTTATCAATCTGGCAGCCACTTCAGTTCATAGTCCATATTTTGACAAATCCCTGTGCTGAAGTTTCTAAGAAAATTATGTTTGTCTGCACAGCAGGTCTGTGTGTTTGACTGCTGAATTTATGCTTGAATTATATTGTAAATTGTACATATTCAGTTTAGAATCAACTAATTGCATTTTCTGGCATGCAATCTATAACTGTATAAATGTACAAGTATATTTGGATAATGTAAAAATTAACGAACTCTTGTACTCATTAATACTGCAAGTTCAGTTTTATCTAAAGCTATATTAAACTTTCAAAAAAGAATGTACAGTTTAAGTGTCAGTCTTTGTCTAATTTATCTCAATTCTTATTTCTGGAAGGAGGACATAAAAGAATAATAATATTTCTCTTGTTTATGAAATTATGTAGGGAGTGCACAAATAGCCTCTTAGAATTTGATAGATCAAATACAGAAAACTATCTAGACTTTCCCTAGGATTTTACTTTGAAGGAAGTACATTTGATATCTGATTACAAGTCTAAATACATCACCAGCTCTTTATTTTCTATGTCTGTATATCATGTGGAGATTTATACTTTAAGTATAAAAATATGGCAACTGTACTTTTCTACAGGTAGTCCTCCACTTACGACCACAATTGAGCCTAAAATTCTGTTAATTGGAATTTTGCCTCAACTTACAACCTCTTTTACCACAGTTGTTAAGTGAATCACTGCAATTGATAAATTAGCAATCCGGTTGTTAAGTGAATCTGGCTTCCCCATTGACTTTGCTTGTCAAAAGGTTGCAAAAGGTAATCACATGACCTTGGGGGACATGGCAATGGTCATAAGTATGAACCAGTTGCCAAGCATTTGAATGTTGACCAAATGATCATGGGGATGCTACAAAGGTTGTAACTATGAAAAATGGTCATAAGTCATTTTTTCCAGTGCCGTTGTAAGCTTGAACAGTGACTAAATGAACTGTTGTAAGTCGAGGACTATATGTACTAACCCACTCATATCCACATATCACTAAATTAGTATCTTCCGCACTCGATCTGTGAAAATTCTTGTAATTCTTGTCTGTGGTCTTATAATACTTTTTCTCCTTTTCCAACAAATAACAAATGCATGCACAGTTATACAAGCTTATGTTTCTTTTTTTTTTCTCGCTAGATACTAATGCAGCACTTTGGGTTGAGTAAACAGCAATATCGTGACATCTAATGATGAAAAATATGCACTGCAACATATAGAAGCAAAATTGAATTAAATCCTGGACAAGGATTTGTCCAAAGAAATTGATGACGTTTCTAGTTCGCAGGGAACATGTTTAAATAGATTTGCACTCTAAATTACTTAACAAAGAAGTACCCAGTTTTCTACTCACCTCAAATCATGTTCAGCAATAACAGTAGTTAAGTGTGTGTGTGTATCTGTGTGTGTGTGTGTGTGTGTGTGTGTGTGTGTGTGTGTGTGTGTGAAACCTGCAAGATGGTGAGTGTAGCATGTTCTTTGGTATGTGTGTGCAGTCTCTTTCGGTGTGAATTTTTTCTATAGATGTACATGGGAAGTATAACAACTGTACTTTGCAAGGACAAGACAAAAGAAATCCTGCTTCAAATTGTATTAACTGGCTTGTAGGATATTAAGTAATTTCCCAAAAACATCCTCAATCAATCTTTCCAGCAAGGAGAGGTGTCAATTATTTTACTAGTGGGAAAGCTATTTACAACTGAAGTATCTCCAGAAGTAAAATGAGGGAATTTGCAAAGGAGGCACAGTCTTGTAAGATCATACTGTTCCAACCTCTGACACTTGCATTTAGTGAAAACCACTTACTACAATCTTACCATTCAAGTGTAGTAGGGTTTTTTCCCCCTGTCCTTACAGCACTAGGCAGCCAGTCTTGAACATGGTGCTTATGTTTAGCAAGAGCTGAGCAGATTTTGAAGTCTTTGCAGAGGGCACTTAAATATATTCCTTTGTTTAAGCATAAAGCATGTCAACCTGAAGATTTTTTTTCTCCCTCTCTCTCCCTCTCCCCTCCCCTTTGTTCATTTGGGTTTGGTTGGGGTTGTGTTTTTTTTTTTTGTTTTTTTTTAACCTTGTGGATTGGCCTTGACTCCTAGCAACTACACAGACCAATCATGCAGTTTCTTGGCAACAATTTTGGAAGTGGTTTATCATCACCGCCTTCCTAGGGCAGAGAGAGAGATTGACTGGCCCAAAGTCACCCACCTGTGCTCCATGCCTAAGCAGAATTAGAACCCTGTCTCCCAATTTCTATCTCAGTCTCTTTAACCATTATACTCTCACCCTTTACTGAGGGTAAGCCTCTCAGCTTATTCTACAGACATAGTAGAAATGTTGTACTGTGGTCAAATGGTGTAGGGCAGTGATGGCTAACCTTTTTGCCATCGCGTGCCAAAAACAGGGGGGAGCATGGGGGCGTTGAGCGTGCACGTGCCCACACCCATTATTCAATGTGCTTCGCCCCCGTACATGCATGCGCAACTCCCTTGTGCGACCCCGCTTTTGGCACTTGATGGTCCGGTGGGCCCGGTAGGCCCATTTTTTGCCCTCCCCAGGCTCCAGAGGCTTTCTAGGAGCCTAAGGAGGGTGAAAACGGCCTTCTTCACTCCCCCGAAGGCCCTCTGGAGGCCAGAAATGGCCCATTTCCCGACTTCCAGAAAGGCCCAAAAGTCAGCTGGCCAGCGCACGATGCAGGCTGGAGCTGAGCTAGGACAATGCTCGTGTGCCCACAGATATGGCTCCATGTGCCACCTATGGCACGCGTGCCATAGGTTCGCCATCATGGGTGTAGGGTCTCCTGCTTGAGTGGGGAGGTTGGACTAGATGACCTAAGTCCCTTCCAACTCTGTTAATCTGTCCCTGTCTTAATATAAGTCATTGGTTCTTTTGACAGTTGGAGACAAGCTGCTTTCAATCTCCTGACCTGTCTGACACAACATAGGGTGACTCACTGAAAGCGCCAAAGCATTTGATTCACTACTCCTCCATCATGTTTTATAACCCAGTACTCCAACTCTGCATGCTTATTCCTCATCTGCAAATGACATTAAATGCATCCTGTAAGTCTCTATTAAGACTACTTTGAGAAAGATGAGTTTTGTGCCAAACATCAGCATGGGCTTGAATAATAAACGTATATAAATGTCCTCTGTGCCAGTAAGGACACTACATAAGTGAAGAAAGGGATAAATATCACGAGAATGGAAGCAACTTTTTATTTAATAAGCATAATTTAATAAGCTGAAGTCAGAAAACAATTCTGAGTTTGGATCTAACACCCTTCCTGTGGAATTTCAGCCTCTCTGCTTGCTTTCTTATTTATTCATCTGATTACTATAGCTGGCCATCTCAACAAGTGATTTTTTTCCCCTCCCAACCTGTCATACACCATACTCTGATATATGTACATTTTCATATTCATGTGTATATGTGTGTGTGCGTGTATGTGTATATGCATAAATGTATGTGTACGACTGTACACATATGTACATATGTATATGTGCATATGTATAAGAGCCGAGGTGGCGCAGTGGTTAGAGTGCAGTACTGCAGCTACTTCAGCTGACTGCTAGTTCAGCAGATCAGCAGATCAAATCTCACCGGCTCAAGGTTGACTCAGCCTTCCATCCTTCCGAGGTGGGTAAAATGAGGACCCAGATTGTTGGGGGCAATATGCTAATGCTAATGCAATATGCTAATATGCAATATGCTATATGCTAACTTTGTAAACCGCTTAGAGAGGGCTGTAAAGCACTATGAAGCGGTATAGAAGTCTAAACAATAATAATATGTATGTACACATACACACACACAAGCAATAAAAATACAAATTATATTAAAAGGTTGTAATCATCATTAGATCAGACATAGAAAATATTTTGAGGTCAAAATGCTCAATGCAAGGGGTACCTTGTGGCCAGTGAGATTAAACCACTAGCACTGATAAAAAAACTTTTCTGTCTTTATGTTTT